AATGTACCTTTCAATGTAGGAAGGGTGCATTTCTGTTGGAATGTATGAAGAAATGTATTTCAATGAAATAATTGGAATGCATGTAAACTGAATTTTTAATTCAAAAAATTTTCGACTCTCTCGGTAAGTCCATCCTGTAAGCATTCAGGATAGGTATAAGTCCATTACCTATACTGAAAAAATCTAAAATTATCATTAACATTTCTCATTTGAATGAAGATCCCTCGTAAAAATAAAAAGAAAAAACATTTAAATAAATGATACCAAAGTTCTTTAGAAATGATTTATGATATCTAACTTCTTTGATTTAGTGAGAGGATGATGTATTTTACCTAATGAGTTTTTCTTCCTCTTCTCTCATTCTCTCAATTTTAATACATCATAAATAATAAATATAATGTATATAAGTTTATGAATATAAATAAAATTTTATACATTTTTATACTTGACACGTATTTAGAACACCAAACATAACCTGAAAAGATAATTAGCTTCACCTTAATTATTCTTAAAGGAATTATATGGGTTAATGTTTCATCTTTGAATACATAAATCCCTTAAAATTAAATTGGATCTTTATATATATATATATATAAATATGTATAATATTATGTAAAGAAGGTAATCAATTATTCTACGAAATATTGTTGAATTAATTACAAGTAAAAATAAAGTGAATTGGCTTAATTATATCAAAATATGTTATTAAAAGCAAGAAGAATTCCCGTTGATTCATCAGCTTCAAATAAAATATATTATAAGAGAAAAAAATAAGACGTTATAGGAAGTAGAAGTAGCCAGAAACAGTGATTCTTCTCACACGAAAATTACATTATACAAATATACTACAGTTACTCACTTTCTTCTCACTTGTCGAATAAAATAGCGCGATAGACGTTTAGACTTTTAGGTGTTTCTTTCGATAAATTCTAAATTTTACATTAAAAAAAAAGAGAAAAATATCGCTCTCATACGTGTTGAAGGAATTCGGGAGTTCAAAATATGAAATCAAAGCTTATATGATTAAAACTAAAAAGTCAAAATTGTGGGCAATTAAAAGAAACTTAAAATTAAAGAGTAAAAATCTCGTATATTTGAGCGTTTTACTCTTTTTATGTCATTTTTACACAAATCTACAACCAAAGAATGATTTCATTCAACAGCTGACATTGTCATCACCGTCAATTTCTATCAAACTTCACAGCGCTGTTTATAATATATTTTTTTGCTCACAGAGCATAACAGTAACTGATGATAACTAATTTTCTAACACAATGTAATTTTAGAATCAGCTTGATCCTTTTTATAACGTGAATATTACAGTTCCACCACTGCCAACAAACATATCGGGTACATGTTGTATTCAAAATGTCAATCCAATAGCTATTATTCAAAAATTATTTTTCAAATTCTAATTAATTCAGGATTAATATTTCAATGAAAATACACATGTAAAACCGTCTTTTTATACCCTGCACTTCGTGAAGGGTATATTAACTTTGGTATGGAGTTTGTAACTACTTGAAGGAGTCATCTGCGGTATGGACATATATATATATTCTTGCTCAGCGTAAAATTCTGCGTTGATTTAGACATGTCCGTCCGTCCGTCCGTCCGTCCGTCCGTCCGTCCGTCCGTCCGTCCGTCCGTCCGATCGCACGATAACTCAAAAACAAATAATGCAATCGACACCAAACTTTCACAAGTTGCTTCTTTTGTGCCAAGGACGAACCCTATTGTTATTGGACCAATTCGGACAACGGATTCGGGTAGCTGCCATACAACTCAAAGAGTTTATTTTAATTATTTCAAAAACTAATAAAGGTACAAATATAAAATTTTGTATACATGTGTCCAATCATATTCTACATATGCTCTAAAAATTTTAATGAGATAGCTGCACCGGTTGGGGTGGCTGCCATACAACTCCAAAAGCAAATTTTTTATATTCGGCAAAATAATAAAGTCAGATTCATGAAACTTGGCAGTCGTGTGTCCAATTATAGGTCAAACATATTTCTGAAGTTTTGGTGGAATTGCTTGACAGGTTCGAGTGGCTCCCATACAAGTCCAAAAGCTTATTTTAAATATTTGGAAAAATAATAAAGTCAGATTCATGAAACTTGGCAGTTGTGTGTCCAATTATAGGTCAAACATATTTCTGAAGTTTTGGTGGAATTGTTTGACAGGTTCGAGTGGCTCCCATACAAGTGCAAAAGCTTATTTTAAATATTTGGAAAAGTAATAAAGTTAGATTCATGAAATTTGGCAGTTGTGTGTCCAATTATAGATCAGATATACCTGCGAAGTTTTAGTGGAATTGCTTGACAGGTTCGGGTACCTGCCATACAACTCCAAAAGCTAATTTTAAATATTTGGAAAAATAATAAAGACAGATTCATGAAACTTGGCAGTTGTGTGTCCAATTATAGGTCAAACATATTTCTGAAGTTTTGGTGGAATTGTTTGACAGGTTCGAGTGGCTCCCATACAAGTGCAAAAGCTTATTTTAAATATTTGGAAAAGTAATAAAGTTAGATTCATGAAATTTGGCAGTTGTGTGTCCAATTATAGATCAGATATACCTGCGAAGTTTTAGTGGAATTGCTTGACAGGTTCGGGTACCTGCCATACAACTCCAAAAGCTAATTTTAAATATTTGGAAAAATAATAAAGTCAGATTCACGAAACTTGGTAGTTGTGTGTTCAGTTATAGATCAGACATATCCGTGAAGTTTCTATAGAATGGTTTCACAGGTTTGAGTAATTGCTATACAACAATGAAAGGTGCAGGGTATAATTCAATCGGTTCATACCGACTGAAACGTTTTTACTTGTTTTTCTTCTTATTGTCCTACACTCATTTATTATGTAATGCGTAGAACAAAAAACAACAAAAACAATCAAAAATATAATATTAAAGGCAAACTGAATAAAACCATTTTGATTACAATTTTGAACAAAAAAAAAAAAACAAAGTTCATCAAATTAATTTTACACGATTATTTTTTTGGTTTTACGGCGATTTGTATGCAATGTTTTTCTTTCCTTTTTATGTTGATCTCTATACTCGTATCCTTTGTTTATCTATTCTATTACATACATATTTAATTCATTTCACATTAATTTTGGATTTCAATATATTTAACTAACATTTCTAACTAAATTCTATTCCTTTTTACATTAACAATTATAGTTTTATGTCTAAGCATAACGTATAAAATATATAGAAAGTTGTCCTTTATATATCTAGTAAAATCCTGTTGTAAATCTAGTTATAATGTGCCTATGAGTGTCATAAAGGATAATTAATGAAAATTATTATTATTTTTTTTGTTATTTTGTTATTGTTTTTATTTTAGGTTTTCACATCTTTTAATACAAAAAGCTTGTTGATAACATTTTGTATATTTTTTGTTGGTTGGAACAGAGAGTACCATAAATCATCGATCAATTTTTTGAATTGTGTGTATGTTTATTTTGTGATTATTTAATTCTGATGTTACTAGAAATTATTTAAACATTTTGTCTTTTTTGGAGGAGGGGAATGATTTTAGTTGTCAAATATTTATAATTGTGTATATAAGAGTGTTACATTTATTTATCTTATAAATTTTTATGAGCTTTCAATAGAGTAAATTTTTTTTTATTTTTTGATTTATTGTGGTATCGAAAAATTTTGTTATTTTTGACATATGTCAAAAAAATTCAACAGTAAGATACATTTTTTTTTTTTCGTTTCGTTTAACAGGAAATGAATTTTTCATAGAAATAAATTGAATGTATGTGTTGTTTTGTTTCAAATGATAAAACTCATAATTTTATTAATCTCTTACGAGTATATAGAATAAAATGTTTAGAAATAAATGTTTGTATATTAAAATAAATTGGTTCTAAAACTCTTACTGTTAAAATAAAAAATTGCATTTATTCAAATATTTTGAACAATGAATTTACCTAATTTATATACTGGCTCATAATATGAAAAAATTTTCTATGGCATATTCATATAAACTGCCAACCAAAGGCCTTCCAATTGTCTGTCACCGTATATTTAAATTGCCTGTAATCGTATAATTGTAACACAAATCGTATATTATAATTAGTCTCTACCCAATTTACAATTCTAGCAATAATTATCTGTTCTCTCATCTGTGGCTGAAATTTTAAATTGAGAACTGAAAGAACTGGAGAGTTTTCTATTCGTTTATGTACACTGAAATTAACCTACTTTTCTAGCTGGTATATCAATGTATAAATAGAGAAAATTTACTTACAAGATGATTCAGACAACAACTAAAAACATTAAAGAAAACTAAAAACATAAATAACTTGATTTTCGTGAAAGTTCGAATGCTTGGTATTCCGAAAGTACATAAAATACATCATGTTTATTTCAAGCTTTTTCCTAGGTTTTTCAAAAACTGTTTATTTAAGATCCCTATCTTTTTCGGAACGGAAGTTATAAGCTTAAAAACCTGGACAAGCAGAAATTTTGTGAAAATTCTTTAAATTGTAACTCGAAAACTCTTGAGATTCAGGACCTAGTCAAAAACAAAAGTTTTTCCCATTTTTGACCCTCTAGTCAATGATATATATTATTGTATACAATTTCTGGATCACCCTCTATACACATTAGTATTATACCAATAGTAAGCAACTGAAATGTAATTCGTAAGCTTCAAATTATTGTCGCAAATATTCAAATTGTTCAAAATTTAATATTATTATTTAAGCTTCGCCTACTTAATTAACAGTATAACACTTCACAAAAATAATAATTTTTTTTTATTAATGCATTAATTATAAATGTATATATATGTAGTATATACAAATTCACTTTCTTACCGTATGAGTATAATAATTCAAAAATTATTTAAAAGCAATTACAATAAATTTTTATTAAGAAAATTCAAGTTCTTTTAACCAAAAAAAAATAATTTCAAAATAATTTCACCTTAATCTTAATTTTTAATTTTTTTTTTTCTTCTTTTTTACAGAACTTCCAAATATATTAACCAACTTTTCACTTTAAGAATAACACAATTTAATCAAAAAAAAAAGGAGCAATTATTTCTGATGTCAAAAACTGAAATAAATCATTACAATTTCCAGGTATTATGAATGAGCTTTACACTTTCACTGCTCTTAATTATATACAATATATTGCGAGAGTGTAAATTAAGGAAGAAACAAAGTTCTACATACGTATATACATTGTATAAACAAATTTACACTGAGGCAATTCTTATTTTTTTTTAAAGCTAATTTTACCAAGACGACGACCGCAGCAAATAAAAGAAAATTTTCACTCTAACGAAGCAAATTTTTTCTTATACATATAAAATATTTTCCGTATGAATAAAATAAATTTAACATTTTTGGTAAAAAGAAGAAAATCATTACATATAAGAGAATAAAGAGTGGAAAAGAAAATCCACAAAAAAAAAAACAAAAAGGAAAAAAAGGAAATCAGGAAAAAAAGAAATTTTTTTTCGAAATTTTCTTTCACTCTTACCGATTTCTTCTTCATTCTATTTAATTTCATCATTATCATTATCAAGCACCGTGGATTCCGATATCAAGGAGCAAAAGAATCGGCATCATCATGACTGCAAAACAAAAGGATGCCATATACTTACGATGGAAAAAATTGCCAGTACACGGTAAGTAAAGTTAATATTGAAAAAAAAAAAATAAATTTGGTTCCTTTTATAAGATTACATTTGAAAAATATTTTCAATATCCTTAATATATAACGTATATACAAAATATTCTATATCTTCGCCTTTATTATCTTTTCGAAATAATATGAGCAAATATGCTTATTAACTTGATTTCTTAGCTTTTCTACAAATTTCTACTCATATTCACAAACATTCTTACTCAACAAATATACAATTTTGTTATAAAAATTAAAACAAATTTTAAAAAATCTTAGTTCTACTCCCTTACATACCTCTTTGACTTCGATACGATCAAAATATTATAAGGTTTAAGAAATTTTAATCAAACCACTAGAAAGCTATGGAAATTTTGCAAAACTATTTAAATTATTGGTTTGAAAGCAGCTTTGAATAAATCAGATCAAACTTGAATTATTCTAACGTCTATTTATTCCGTCCGACGGATTGGAAGAGTTTTCGGGGGCGCCTGTGTTTGATCTGCTGAACTTTTTCAAAGGACTTCAATAGATTTATGAAATTTATTTAAGGTATGGCTGGATGTAGAGGGATTCCGATTGGCTTTGTGCCGGTTTAGTGCTGAGCAGTAATGGTGAGGCTACCGTCTACCCTCCCAAAATTTTTAATTTTTATAATCCTAAAATTTTCAAGTTGTATTTTTCATACTTTAACTCAATATTCCTTAAATGAGAATTGAATCAAATTTTGTTATGTAGTACAGATTTTAATATGAAAGATCTATAAATATCTTCAACTATAAAAAAGACAGTTTTGCCTCATTACCACAAAAAATTTACTTTAAATTTAAAGTGTTGCCACTACTTTATTATATAATTAAACAAAGTTTAAAAGAAATTATTAGTTACAAAGATGTATTTTTCTCTAAGGCCAAGTACAAAAATTTGATATATGAACCCCATTCATTTATTTAAGACAAAATTTGGAAAAGAAAATTAAGAAATCAAAAATTCAAGATTTGTGTAACCTATAAAATATTTTGAAAATTATAAATGTATAACAATTTTGACAGGGAATTCATAACTCTGTATTACTCGTAAAATTGTAATTATAAGAATTTAACAAAATTATTGAATATATTATTCAAAAGATTTTTAAATTTCTCGATAATTTCAATTGATGACGATGATGATGCTGACGTTACCATAGATAAATTAGAATATAAGACTTTGAATGTGCTACTCGATGCCTTTATATGTATGTATAATTTATTCTTATAAATTAATAATAACAATAATAATTCATCATCCCTCCAATATATTTTATTCAAAGCAATTATATTTGAAGCAATTCAGAAGAATTCGTTCATTTGTGTGTGTATGTTAAATGAAATCAATATTATATTTTGAAAAGCAAAATGAGGAATCATAAAAGATTTAGAATTCGATTAGAAATTTTTGACTTCCAAGTTCGAAAATAAATTTTCTTAAAAAAAAAAAATGAATTATTGTTCCTTTTAATTTACTTTTATTTTTAGATACTTATAGGGAAATTATTTTCTTTTTTTTCTAACCATACATCCATACGTTTTTTAAAAATATCCTTAATTCTTATAAAAAGAAAATCATAAATTATTATTTCTTGTTTTCCATTTCATTTTTGTATTCTCTTAAATATTATTAATGGTGGTTTTATTCTAAATTTATAACCATATATAATTTATTAACGAACATTATAATGTCAATATACGTATGTGTATGTGTGTGTAAAAATATAAATAATATTAAAATTCGCTGTGAATTGGCATACAATATTCAATGCTAATTTTGTATTAAACAAGAAAATAAAATAATTGAAATTTATGTGCATAAAAGGTTACTTAAAAAAAACAGACGTCCTTTTCAAGAAAAATATTTTAAGTGGTTTGTACATAAAACCTTAAATCTATAAATAAAATAAAATGTTAAACACAATCGACGTTTAATTAAGTTCTCATCTTTATAAAGTAAAGTAAAATCTTATACATACAATGACAATCTAAAAAATAATGAAAGAAATATAATAACCAGGAATTAAAAATCTTATTTATTTTGAGCGGATGAAAGTGCCCTCATATGTAAAAATTAACGTTATCAGTCACCTATTCTTTATGTAAGTTATTGAAAAATTTGAATTAACAATATTTTTCGCTTATTTTTTTTTGATCCAATTAAAGAAACTCTTAAATCCACAAAAAATTAAAAATAATTTAATAATAATGCATGTAGGACATATAAAAATAAATTTATTTCAAAGCAGTGGTTTTTATGGCAGCACATTTTCATAAAAAATAAAAGCTTTTTGAAAAAAAAAAACTGTTTTACGGTGAAAATTCTATAAACCGAACTTCTGGATTTAACGAACAGCGTCATTAAATTTACAATGTAGTTTGATTCTTTATATTACGAACAATATATTCGGGTTTAGATAGTTCATTATACATAGAAGTTTTCTGTATTATGCATTATTCTCACAATATCTTCTCATTTTGCATACTTTTTGGCGGAACACAAAAAATAAAAGAGGCAAAAAGAAAGTAATTAAATTAAATGGTAAATATTAAATTTCGAATCTATGAATAATTTAGGGAAGCTTATAAACTTAAAGAAATAGCACGTCGAAAGATGAAAATATTGAAACATGAAGTTGATAGAAAAAAAACTGAAGCATATTTCAATTTATTTTTGTTAATTTTACAAAATAATTACGTAAGGTTATGAAAATATGTCTCTTAAACTTTTTTTAAAATATATTTTATCTATTTTATATCATTTTAATTAATATATTTAGAAATTTGTGAATTTAATTCTTAGTATATAGAGATTCGTTGCCTGTGATTCGATTTCTTTCAAATGTTTTTCACCTAATTTCGTTCACATTAAGCAAACTGTAATAGTATAATTTTTAAGGAAATTACTTTTATTGATTTTTTAAATACGATCAGGGATGAAAAACCGATCACTATAGAAAAAATTCGATTTCCGAGTCCCATGATATTCTCAAGAATTATAAGGCTTTTTTTTTTGACAATTAATGGAAATAATGTGGACGTCAAATATCGATTGTAATTATGTAGTTTTTATGAATTTCACTTAAAATTCAAGTTTTTTTTGAAATTTAAAAAAATATTTACTTCATGTTTTCTAATTTTGAATAAAAAAAGAAAGAAATTAAATATTAAATTAATTAACTCAAATATTAAATAATTGAACTTTCAACACGAATTTTTCATTCAAAAATTTTCACTATAAAAATCATAGCATACAACTTTCAATATTGCAAACTTTAACATAATATTAAAAAAAAAGAAAATTATTTACTATGAAAGAAAACTTTGGAAAATTCGAAAAGTAAAAATTTTAATAATAACAAAATTTCTGTAAGAAAAGCAAAATCATTTTTACAAAAAATGTAAACAATTTTTTGATTACAATTAATTTAAGTTTGTAATTGAAGAATATTGAGCAGAAAAATTAAAAGTCTTTATTAAGTAAATGCCTGGAACAACTCGAAAAAAAATACTAAAATTGCAGCTCTTCAATTTTTTATTTTCAGCTCTCAAAATAAATTAATATAAAAGTTATAAAGGTTATTAATATTTAACTTCAACCTAGAAATAAAGATCCTTGAGTTCATATAATAATATTAGAAAAAAAAGAGAAAAAATAGAGTTGAGCATGTCAGCTTTGTGATACAAGTACAAATTTATTATTCTATGACCGAACAAATATGTCACACCTGGATGGGACAGACTATAACTTTAAGTTGCGGTATTACCATACTTTAGTTTCTTAATCACACATAACAGCCTCATTAATATACTTGTTTTCGCGAAATTTCTATATTATCGCTGTAATTATTTCTGAGATAATGTCAAATAATTTTCAAAGTTGTGAAACAGCTATCATAAGCACTCATGATATTTCAACAGCTTTTACAAAAAATAGTAGCCATATTACTTTTGTTGTTTATGCAAAATAATAATATTTTATATCCCTTATACCCCTTCGAACATACGTTCGTACGGGTATAAATAAAATATTTTTAGCTATACAGAATGATAAAGGTATCAAACCATGTATCAATTACATAAAAAACAAAATCTATAAAAGGTTCTGGTCTAGTAATTTTAACTTTATACACTTTTATCAAAAAAAGTAACCTATTATACTTGTTTGACATCATATAACCCTTAAAACAACGCCTGGCCAATCCATACTGAGCCATAGTGAGCCAAAATTAAAATAAAAAATTTAAAAATTCTATAAATCACTAAAAATTAATGAGCAAAATGAGAAGAAAATATTACAGGACATTTTGATTTTTTCGTCCTCCCCGTCCATCTCAAAGATAAATAATCGAAGAAAATGAAGAAATCAGTTTGAATTTTCATATTAATATTGATTTTAGTTAGATGTTACTTTCTGGAATTCATGATACAAAATTCCTCCTGTTAGAATTAATTGATCAACCATATTTCGTTTTGTTAATCGTCAATTTTAGTATAGTACTCGTACTATCAAAAAAAATTATATTTTTCTCCATGATTTGTCTTTTATTTCGTTATTTGGCATTGTCAATAAAAATATTATATGAGAATGTAGTTTATGATCTAATTCAAGATATAAATGATTTTAAATGCTGAAAAATATTTGATATTGTAAGATTTAGGAATTTGTAAAAATTATTTATGACCCAACCACATGAGGTTGGCCATTCCATAATCCGCATGAGGTTGGCCAGCGCTGCTTTAATCCATTTATTTTTAAAGATGTTAAATTTTTTTTTAAAGTTCAAATTTTGAAACATTAAAAAATATACGGAATCATTTAATATTTTCAAATTATGACTAAAAAAATTGATATTTCCTGAAATTAAAATTTAAATATAAACCAAATTTTTTTTTAAATAAATTCAATTTAAAACAATATTTGTGCTTCATTATGTAATATTGTATAGTTAATAATGTGCTAACGAGAATGTAA